ATGACCTCTTCTTCTCCCCTAAACAGCAGGAGCCCTGGGAACTCACACAGCTCCATGAGCCTCCCCTGGCCCCCGCTGCTTCCCCAGCCCCCAGCCCTGTAAGAATCCCCTCTTACCTCCAGAGAAGGGTAGCTCTGACACAGCTGAGATTCCCTTGTGTTGGGTGTGGAGAGAACCCTGCCTTCTGTGTGTCATCACAGAAATCATAATGAGAGCGGGTAAAGGACAGGTGGCCTAGAAGCATGTGAGATGAGGCAGCAGCTGAGGAAGAAGGCGTTTGCCTTCTCTTCTAAACTCCATGGCCCTGTTCCTCCACTTTACCCTAGAACTAGAATGTTCCTCTTTTCTAAATGGGAAGAAACTCATTTTGACACACCCCCTTCCTCCCAGGTGTTTGACTAAATCAACTAGTTTATCCGCACTGTGTGCTGAAAGTCGCCTGCCTGTTCTGGGAAAGGAGAAGCTGCCGCCCCCAGACTCTGAGTTCATCGACCACAGCGGGCGGTCATCAGCTCACACCCAAAGCAGAAACATCCAGCCGCCCTCCACTGCTTCTGGGCGAGACCCTAACTAACCCTGAACTCACTGGAATTCTCACGCTCCAACTCCTAATCCTCTCTACAGACGCAGGCACCATTTCACGTCATCCACCAAGACTCCTTACACGGCCCAACCTCCACTGCCAGCTGTATAATTTTAGGGCTTTAGATAACCTGAGAGGTTATCTACCGAGTCCAGCTGCCCCTCCTGCAGATTGGAACACTGAGGCCCGGAGGAGCTGAGTGACTTGTCCATGTGCATACAGCCCCTCTTGGCAGGGGCAGGCCAAGGACAAGCCTCTGGACAGTGTAGTCAGTGCTTTCAACAGCTGAGCTCTCAAATCAACCCATGTTTACTGAGTTTCTAAAAGGAGGGTGACCGTATGTCCTAGATCATCTGATGCAGTCCTAGGTTACACCTGCCCTCTTTCACACTTCACTGTACTGATTTGGGCCATGCACGGTCCCTGTACGCATCTACTGTACTGTTATGTATTGGGTGAGATGGAGTTGGGATGACACCTAGCCCTTCTTCCGGGGCGTAGGACCAACAGGAGACACATGTCTATGACATTGTGTCAGTTCTTCAGTAAACCAAAAAGAGCCATAGGGAACTTCGGGATGATGGGATTAACTCAGACTGGGATAGAGAGCTGGAGAACCAGAAAGACCTTTGGCCAAAGGTCCATACGAGCCAGGCGTGGTGGCGCATGTCTGTAGTCTCAGCTACTCGGGAGGCTGAGGCAGGAGGATGGCTTGAGCCCAGGAGTTTGAGGTTGCTGTGAGCTAGGCTGACACCACGGCACTGTAGCCCGGGTGACAGAGCAAGACTCTGTCTCAAAAAGAAAAAGAAAAGAAAAAAACAAGTCCCTGTGAGCTGGGCCTCAAACTGAGAAAGGAACAAACCTGTGCAGGGGAAGCACAAACAGAAGTCAGTGGGCGGATGTTTGGTGCAAAGTGCCACATCCCAGGCCCTGAGAACACCAGGACGAGTGAGCTGAGGCCCTAGCTGAAAAAGCTGAGGACAGAGTTCAGAAGAAAGGTGGGATGACTAGGAGCCAGGGGTCCCCAGGACAGGAGAGAAGGAGTTCCCGCCACCACCTCTGCAGTCTGAGACAGAGGCAGTCTCCTGCTGGACACGCCTGCTCTCTTTCCTAACCTCCCAGATCTCTCCTTGACTGCAGCCCTCTTTAGTCACCTATTTTTCACTGTTACCTGTGCACACTGCATTCCTTACCTGGAAGACCCAGCGATGGCATTTCAGTGAGTGATGTTCCTAACAAGCCCTACCAGTGTTTTATAAGCTGAAAGATCCTGGTGAATATTTCTTAATAATCTAAGAAAATTTACTGGCCGTTTCACCAGCCAAAAGTTTCATTCTCCGACCAGTGAAATGGTCCACTGGTTCCCCGTCCCGGGCCATGGGTAGTGTGGTCGGCCTGAGGCTCAGGAACGGTGGGCAGGAGCGGGTGGGGGATGCAGGAGGCTGTAGCGAGGGAGAGGAAAGACCACTAGGGAGGCAAAGGAGGTGAGCTCTGGCAAATGGCGGCGTGCACCCACAGGTAGGGGACATCTGATCTCAAAGGACGAGCTGCATCGCAGACTTGGGCCAGCTTTCGCACATGGTGGGGCGATTCTGAGGAGGCAAGAGGCCCGTGAGAGGACAGACGGAGCTCGATTCTGGGGTACACACTCCCCCACCCCTCCACGAGCAGTTTCTCAGGCTCCACCACAAAGTGGATGAGGAAGGCCTCGAGCGCACACACAGTGCTTGGGGACGCAGCAGACACTCCGCCTGCCTTCGGGTGGCTGCTGCCCCCTGCTGATAGAGCTAGACCTTGACAGCTCGACCTCGCCCTCTGTGGCCCGGGCTGAGTAACGGCGTCTACAGAAAGCAGGTTGATTCCACAGCTCATAAACATATATGCTTACAACGAGTCAATTAAAAATTCAAAAACTGAAAATTCTTAAAAGGCCGGTTGAAGTTGTTAGGCTTCTCAAAATCACATCCAGACGAGGAGGGAAACACAACCTTTTTATAGAGTCTCCTTGTGCAGCACAAGATGCGGTGAGGCCTCCTTAGGTTAAGCAAGCCAAAGTGGCAGAGAAGTACCAACAAGAATCACCATGACTACGAGCCACTGACACACACCACGCCATGCACGTCCACACTGTCCTGTTTTATAGGTGATAAAAATGAAGGGCAGAGAAATGCAAGAACTCCCCTAGAGGCATGGAGATGTAATCCTGGGACTGTGTTTTGCCAGATCCTGACCTAATGGCTGTACCGATAAAGTCACCTGGTGTAGGCTGGGGTTGGGGAAAGAGGTGAGAAGCAGAAGCACCTTCGCTGGGCATCTGCCAGGTGCAGCCGTCTGGGAGACTGAGGCCCCAGCCCCTCACTTGGGGAGTGTGAACTCAACCAGCCAGTGTGACATGTGACATGTCATGGTGCGGGGCTGGGGGCAACGTCCCACATCCCCCACACCTTGACCATCTCTTGCTCATCTTAAACAAACAAATCCCTTGAGACCCTCTTTGCGGGGAAAAGGAGCTGAGAAGTGATGTTTCTCTTCCTAGCAAAACTTCCCAGGTGACTACATCCACTTCCTCATCTGTTCCTGTGAGCGCCTCCGCTCCAGGGCGCAAGAGCCTGGACTCCAGACTCCGAGTGGGAGCATAAGAACACCCTGCCGCGTGGCCTCGCACCACCCCCTGAGCACAGAGCAGAGCGAGGGGAGCCCGGCTTGCTCCCTCTGGCCCTCCCCCTTCCTCCCCTGACCGCCCCATTTAAAGGGCCCCCACCTTGCCCTGCTTTTCTCTCCCCCAACTCCTGCTCACCTTCACCCACTACCTTCTGTGGGGAGCTGGGGCAGGCCCAGTTTCTCACCTGTGGAAGTGCTGCCTCCCCCATAAGGCTGTGAGCATTCAGTGGGTGTGTGCCCTGGTGCGTGAGGTCACAGGGCGAGTACAAGCCAGAGTTGCCAGGCTGCCGGGGAGCCCACATTTGCTGTGGCTTCTGCTTTCTTCCACTTGAAGGAAGCACCACTAGCTCTAACCCTCCCGGTCTGCCTCCGACCCTGCCTTGCCCAGTGGGTGGCTGCACGAGGAGCTGTGTGCACAGCCCAGCCTTGCTCTCCTAGGGCTTCTCCGTCCCAGGAGCCTTCCAGGTCCCGCCTGCCATGGCCGGGGAGGGAAGTGCAGCGCCTCAGTATCATCTCGGAAAGCCCACTTACGATTACTACAATATTACCGTCATTATAATGCTAAATACTGGAAATGTGCTAACTAAGGAGATTTTGGGTGCTCTTACCACAAAAAAGGGGGGAGGTAACCATGCAAAAAGATGGCTATGCCAATGTCTTCGCTATAGTAACGATTTCATTGTCTATCAAAACATCATTTTGTACACCTTAAATATATACAATTTTTAAAAATGTTCTTAAAGCCCGCTTGCCCAAAAACATGAGCCATACATTCTCACAGCAGCTTTTCTGGTAATAAAGGAAATAGTTTGCCATCCATCTGCCAGGTCAGGGGAGGCAGTCTCAGAAACCTGGACAGAGGCTGTCAAAGGCACACAGTTGAGTGCTCAGGACATAGTGGCTTGTAATGGCCTCTCTGGTGTCCAAGGCTGTCAAGGTCACTGCTCTGCTGTGTCCCTCCAATCCTTGGCCTTTACCCTGCCCCTTCTTGGCCTCCAGAGGTTTTGGTTCTCCTCCCTGGCAGCGTCTTCTCCTTCCCTTGGCTGACTGCTCAACCCTGCTCTAAATGCTGGCATGCCCCAAGTGCAGCTCAAGCCAAACAAAGCCTTTTGCTCTCACCTCTGAGGCTCCTGAAGTTCACATCCCTCCCCCATCTCCCACCTGTGGGTCCAAATGTACTCAAACCCCTTCCAGCACCCAACCGGTCAAGCCCTGACTTGGCAGTTGTCTTTCATCCACATTTTAATTTCTGATACACAACAGGTAACTCATGTCCTAAACACTACAGGGCACAAAAATCATTGTCTGTCTGAAATTTAAGTGGACACCCTGTATGTTTACTTGATAAATCCAGCATCCCTTCTTTTGTCCCTCCCCTTCCTTCAAGCTCACATCCAGACACATCAAGATCCTTACCCCTCTGGCACGCTCACCTGGCTCCAACAGCACCTACTCCACCCTGCAGACCCTCTGTGCCAAGCCCGCTCTAGCACCCATCATCTACATACCACGGCCACATGAGGCCCAGACTCCTCCCCAGCTTGTCACATCTGCCCTGTGCATGAGCACCGGCCACGTGGCCTTGCAACACTCCAAGAGCACGTAGCCTGGCTTGCTCCATCTGGCCCTCCCCTCACCATCCCATTTAAAGACCCCCACCTTGCCCTGCTCTTCCCTCTCCCACCCCTGCCTCATCCTCACACCTTTCTCTCCTATCCTCCAACAGGGACAGAGAATGTTGCTGTTACATAAACTACTTTATTTAAATAAAACCAGGGCAGACCCTTTCCCCCACACACACTAGCACATGCGCACGCACACCCATGTCCTCCTTCCCTCCCTTTCTGATCTCCACCCACGGCCACCTCAAACCCCAAGGTTCTCATTGTGACCATCCTCCCTCCACTTGTGGACACCTGTGCAGAGCGCAGAGGTTCACTCCTCTAGTAGTTGCTGGCAGTGGGACACAGGCCTAGCTAGGCAAGAGCTCTCTGCTTTCCAGGGCTGGGACAAGAGGAAGAACCAACTTTTCCAAGGCACCCAAATCTGGTGTGGCTTCCCTACACACAGCTTGGGGGCACTGCTAGGCAGCTGGAGCAACTCCCTGTAGAGGGCAGGACCCCTCACCCCAGACCAACCACTCCCTGCACCAAAGGAGGTGAGAGGCTTGGCAACCAAGCTTTAGCACTCCCAAGGTATCCTGGAGTAGGCATTGTTTGGTTTGGAGAAGAGCAAGGGAGAGCAATAGAGCACCAAATTCCCCAATCCCACCCTACAGGAGGGCGCTAAGATGCGGCTTAGCATCCTCTACCCAGAAAAAGTAAATGTAACTCAGTAGCAAGAGTGTAAGGGGGTGGGAACGACAGGGGCCTAAGCCTTCAGGACCTCATCACACCTTCACCCTCAACACGGACCCAGTTAGGGACCCACTAGCACCTAGGCAACGTTAAGGACTCAGCCCCGCTGGGGAAACGCCATGCCCACAGGAGCCAGTCTGGAGGTGGTGATATTCCCTATGTTGACAATGGGTGGGGTTTCTCTCCGTAACACCGACATCCTGCAAGTTCTGCTTTGGGACACACACAGCAGAGTGGCTCAGGTCGTGAAGGGGAGTGCTGCAGGGAAGGGCAGTATCTCCCAGAGGCACAGAGCACATCCTACAGGTCACACACTGGCAAGCTGGAACAGGGCAGAGGTGCAGGGCCGCCAGAGGGCTCAGCAGCATCCCTAGGGCGCCCTCCAGAGCTGCCTTGGGAAGGTGGGTGGGGCTGGGGGCCAGCAGGAGGGGCGCCTGTCCCTCCACTCAGGCTAGGCTCTCAGGCCCGGCGCTCATTTTCTCTCATGAGCTTCTCTGTGCCTTCTAGACGAGCTTCCCCAAGGGGAAAAGCCAAACAGATGGACGGGGAGGGTCAGATAGAAAGGACAGCAAAGGGTCCACACTCTACAGACTGGGAGGGGCCTGCAGGGTGCGGGAGATGAGAGCGCCAGAGAACAAGCCTTCTGAATAGGGAAGGCGAAGAGAGAGCTGCCTTGTGAGGGGGGAGAGGCGAGAGGCGAGAGGGGAGGCGGTGAGAAAGCCAGGGCAGACACAGGACGCGGACACAGCTAACCTCTCCCAGGGAAGCACTGGAGAAGGGGACCTCAGGGAAGACAGGACCCCAGAGAAGAGGGGGTGAGAAGCCTGTGGGGCCCTGATCAGCCCGTGGGGAAGAGTCAAGCCAGTAGCTGTGGCCACTGGGCTACAGGCTGATGCTGCGCTGGTGGCGACCCCCACGGACCCCGCCATCACTGCCCCGGCGTCCCCCACTCCGAGGTCCCAGCTCTTGGCCGTCCAGACTGGTGTGGTCCGAGAGGCCCCGTAAGTGCTCCACCGAGTCACACTTCTGCAGGTCAGAGGCCACAGTGCGCAGGCTCAGCAGGCTCAGAGTGTCCGTGTCGGGGGCGAGGCCAGGCCCCAGGCTGCTGCCCTCTTCCAGCCCCCCGCCCTCGGCCCCTTCAATCCCGCTGTCCCCATCCTCTGTGTCCTCCGGTCCCGCTTCAGCCCCCACGGGGGAGGAACGCCGCGGGCCTGGGGGGTGGGGAGGCAGGCCCCGGCGCCGCGCATGGATCTGCTCGCTGATCTGCTCCAGGTTACGCAGGGCGACTGAGTAGCGGGTCTTGGCCTGGGCTACTTGCTGCTCCAATTCCGTCACCTTGGCCTTGTGCTCCTGCAGGGGACAAGACAGAGCAAGGTGATCCACGGCGTGTCCCGCCTTATGCGGCACTCCGCATTGAGGTACAGAGCCTCGCCTCCCAGAACCCCTGGCTGGCTGCGCTCAGCACCCACCGCAGACCTGCAACTCCTGCCAGCCCCACTGCTCCTCTGGCTGTCCGTCCCAGCAATCCTGCCTGGCTCTTGACTTGAGTTCCACCTTCCAGGGCCTTCCTCCCAGGACTTCATCTCCACTAGCTCCTCCTCCTCCTCTCCCCATTGTTCCTTCTCACCATCTGGCTGGCTCTTCTCCCCATCCCTGGTTTCCTCTATTCTCACTTTTTCTCTTGTTTACCGCCCTTCTTCAACTATGTTCTCTGCCAGTACCAGCCCCCAGCCCTGCCTCCCACTCCTGCAGGGCCACACATCCCACCACTGGCTGGCCCGGCGGAGGCCTTGCCCTGCCCACCCCACCAGGACGGCCCAGACAGGCAGACAACATCCCTTACCTGCCCTCGCTTGCCATGCCTGCCCCTTCTACAGCCCCACCTGCCCGTTCTTCTTCCCTCTCTCCCACTCAGCTACCTCCAAGATCTGGCTGAACTGGGCCTTGAGCTCGAAGTACGGGCGGCTCTTGCCAATGGCCCGCCGGAGGGTCTTCTGCAGGGATTGGACCCGAGCTTCAGCCTGTTGGCACAGCCGTGTCACCCGCTGATGTTCCCGCTCTCCTCGAAGCCGCTCTTCCTCTGCCTCGTTCACCTGGCCAAGGGGGGCACACATCACCGAGGTAGGCCCCACAGTGCAGTCCCTGGCATTTGCCCCAGGCTGCCAATCTGAGAGCTGCCCTGGGAGAACCTGAACAGAAGCATCCTCTGCAAGCCTCCCCACCATGTGCAGAGCCCAAGACACTCAGGAACAGTGGGTCGGTGAGCCTCAAGAGAGTTTCTTCCCCTCTCTTTTGGACCTGCTGCCTGACCTCTTGGCCTTTGAGGACCATGTCTGAAGCATGTGCCTCTGCAGCCACCTCTTCCCCATGCTCTTGCCTATTGTCGCCTGTGCCACCTGCCACTGAACTTTGCTGCTGCCAGGAAAGGGGCGCTGGAACCCTCTCAACCACTTATGAGCATCACAGGAATGTCTGTCTGTGAGCACAACACATCTGCAGCAGCCATTGTCCTGGGGAGCCCTCAGTGCCAGCAGCTGGGGGCCAGGGACAGGAGGAGCCCATGTGGGGAGCCATCGCTGTGCGCTGGGTTCTCTGGGTTTCCAGCCCTCACGTGTGCACAGTCCAGGCCAAGGCTTCCGCCCCAGGGTGCTGCACGGCCGGCCTGCGCGTCCTGGTAGACGAGGTGTCTGGAGGCCTCACCTGCTCCGCTAAGGGGTGGCTCTGGACTGTGCACCGCCCCCTAACACTGCTCTACACAGTTCCCACACCCCCTCTTCCAGTGCTCCGCGCTCTTGTTTGCATGAGCTCCAGAGTAGAAGTAGAGAGCCTGTTCTGTGCGAGGGCACACAAAGAATCACAAGACACGACCTCCCCCCACCAGGAGCTGACACTTGCCCTGTTCAAGCTGAAAGTGGCAGACTGAGCCATTGCCAGAGATCCTCCCGCTGCCCAGCTCCTTTCAGGAGCTTGGAATGATACATAAATTATACTTCGAACATCCAGTACACTGGCAGAGCTCAAAAGCAGGAAAGGGAAAACATTCTGAAAACAGAAGTGAGGAGTCACACAACTAAACATAACAAATGTGAATGCTGAATCCCAGCGCATCCTCCAGGGATGAACTGTTTGGGCTGGTCTCACACCTGGACGTAAAGGTTTGAGAAAAGCCCAGGATGACATTCTAAGTCAGAGGGAAATGGAATGTGGGAAGCACTGGCGGCCACGTCAGGCAGAAAGCTAGGAATAGCTTTGGCCTGAAACAGAACCAGAGCTGGGGAAGGCTGGAGTGGAGGAGAAGGAGGAGTAAAAAGGTGAGGCAATGAAGAGACAGTAAAAGCACAAGAACCAGCAAAGGGAAGCTGCCAGCACCACCCAGCTCACCTTGCAGGTGGCGTGATTGAGCATCTCCTGCCACGTGGGGTCCAGTCGGTTCTTGTCAGCCATGACACCCTGCTCGGCCACAAACACCATCTCCCGTGCAGCATTGTGCATGCTCACAGCCCGCTCGTACCGCAGCGCTGCCTTCTGTGTCTCCTGCTGAGCCTGGGGGGAGAGGGCCGTCAGCATGGGAGCCCCGAGGGGCCTCCAGCTGCCCGTGGAGACGGGCGTGAGGACAAGCGGAAAAAGGCAACATCAGCTCCATTTCCCAAACTGTGCTAAGGATTAATGCCAAGGAAGCAGTACCCTATAAAGAATATTTCACAAGGATATGGAGGAAAATAAATAAATGTACAAATAAATATTTAAAAGAATGATGCTCTCAGTGGAGGTGGGTGTGTGAAATTCAGCACTCTCAATGGCTGTGGCCTTCTGCCCCAGGGAGAACAAAGGAAAATCTGAACCATTTTAGTTGGAAGGGTTAGTGACATGCACAGGGTGTCACAGAAAATATGACCCTGAGACCATCAATTCCACACCCAGCAGGTAAGCTGAAGGAAATACGCAGACACGTGCTCAGAGACATTCATCACAACCATACTAAACAAGCAAAAGATTCAACACAAACCTAACTTTTCAGTCATAGGACACTGCTTAAATGCATAATAGTACATCTAACATAAGGAAATATTAATCAGTCCTTTAAAATGATGGCATGGATGTACATTTATTGATATGGCTAAGTAAAACAAAGGAACAAAAATAGCGCATATTGTATAATCCCATTTTGGCAAAATAAATGCCAAATTTTTTTTGTTAAATACATGTTCATCTGTGCTATATCAGTCATTTTTTTTTTTTGAGACAGAGTCTCACTCTGTTGCCCGGGCTAGAGTGCCGTGGCGTCAGCCTAGCTCACAGCAACCTCAAACTCCTGGGCTTAAGCAATCCTCCTGCCTCAGCCTCCCAAGTAGCTGGGACTGCAGGCATGTGCCACCACACCCGGCTAATTTTTTATTTACACACACACACACACACACATATATATATATATATATATATTTAATTGTCCAGCTAATTTCTTTCTATTTTTTTAGTAGAGACGGGGTCTCGCTCTTGCTCAGGCTGGTCTCGTACTCTCGAGCTCAAACGATTTGCACGCCTCGGCCTCCCAGAGTGCTAGGATTACAGGCATGAGCCACTGCGCATGGCCCGTATTTTTTACTTTCTAATTTTTATAATGCTTTGACATCTTGGAGGGCCTTGCTGGCCAAAGAGAGCCTGCTCCTCCAAGGGCTAGCTAATTGCTAGAGATGAGAAACTCCCCTGTGACTTTCACATGCAAGTCAACGGCTCCAAACCCCAGATGCCCAGATACCTCCATTATCTAACCCACACATCGAGCCAGCAAGCCCCTGCCCCAATCATCCCAGAACCAGGTAACCAGACAACTAGAGACCACCCCTACCCAATCCTAAACTTACCTAAACTTGCCCACCCTGCCTCAACCATTTCTTTCCACAAAAACACAATGAAGATGCCAGGATATGCTCTCTCCTTCACTTCTTCTGCCCCCTGATTGACCCTGGTTGCTCCCCAGTGTGGCCTGCATGGCATGGCATGTCCCCTCCTCTTGGGAATAACTCTTCTTTCAAGGTAGCTGTCCCTAAGTCTAGCACCTTACTATACTGGATTAAAACAAATCCCAGGTACAAAAAAAGCATGAAACGTGCATGATTGGATTGTGGGCAATTTTGGTTTTCTTCTTCCTTTTATTACAGTCTTCCAATGTTAACACACGTTACTTGTGTAAACAAAACGGCTGGGGTCAGAGGGCTGGTGGTTAGCTAAGAAAAGATGCAGATAAGAGAGATATGAATCAAAGGGAAGAGAAGTAAGAGAAAGAAGAAATGAGAGAAGATGAAAATGGTAAGATACCAGAGCTGACATATCTGATACACCCTAAAGCCTGGCTCCCTACACACAGAAGAACACTGAAACATCAGCAGAGATAAACTGGACTCTCTGGAGCACACCCCCAAACTCCCCACCACGAGCCTAGGGCCTATGGGGGTAAAGGAAACTTCTCAGCCCACAGAGCTAGTTCAGAGCAGCCAGGTCTAGACCGGGTCTCTGCCCTTAGGTCTGGTGTTTTGTCTCCCATGCCACACAGAGACAGAGCCCAAGGTCAGGCTCTGGCACAGCCTTCCCTGAACACAAGTCAGCCAGCCATACCTCCTTAGCCAGCCGCCGCGCCTCATAGTAGGGCCGGGCCTTCTCAATGCAGCTCCCCAAGTGAGAGCCCTGTGTGTTGAGCTTCCTTGCTGACTCCTGCAGGATCCTCCGATAGGTGGTCCTGGCCTCCTGGCAAAGGGATGGGGCAGAGGAAAGGCACATGTGTGGGTCCCAGCCCCTCCTGTTCCTCGAGCACAACCCTCCCCTGCCAGGGTCTCAATTTGAGAAAGAGACAGACGGAGACACCCCCGGGGACCAGCCCAAGGGTGTGAGGAAGAGGAGGATACTCACGTCCAGCTGCAGCTCCACCTGGTTGATCTCCTCACTGGCCTGATTCAGGTGCTCCAGCTCCTCCTGCCTCAGAGAGGAGCGGTGAGTTAGTGCAGTGGAAGGAAGGAGCTCAAGTGACCTGTGCAGGGCGGAAGCCCCACCTGCCCAGGGAAAGGACGTGAGAGACTCAGGAAAGGAAAGGAATGGAGGAACGCTTCCTGTACATCAGAGACCCAATACACACAATCTCATGTAATCCTCACTTTACTTTGTATTGGGTAGTAAAACCCCAATTTTAAGGATGAGGAAAATCGAGGTTCAGAGAATGTAACACTAATATGCGCACAGCCAGTGGCGGTGACCTCTCACTCTCTCCATCAGATCGCACCACTTTCTCCAGCTGGGCGAGTTCCCTCGGGCCTGAGGGCTGCTCTCCCTCAGGAGAGGATAGCTGCCTGGGCCAGGGCAGGGCTACTCACTCAGCAGACATTTACTGCATGCTCATCGCCTCTCAGTACCGTGACCCTAGAATTCAGGACACAGAGAGGTGGCAGCTCACAGCTGCTGAGGAAGCCCAGCAAGTAAGCAACAGGCCCTGGGCAGTATGTGGAGCCTTGTGAGAGGTGGGTGTGGGTGCCCTCCAGGGGGCAGGGTCACCTGCCTGGGGAGCAGAAGGTCAGGCAGGATGACCAGAACACTTGCTCCCTAGCTGGGACTTGATAGACACAAAAGTGCCAGTGAAGGGGAGGGAGCCAGGGGACCCAAGGGGAGCAGGTGCCCCGGGCAGGAACGTTGGCAGGTAAGGAAACCAGTGAGGCTGGGGCACCAGGGGAGGAGACACCAGCCCTTTTCCAGTGGCAAAACGGTCCCTCAGAGCTTGGTGCCACTTAGTCTGTGGTTTAGGAAGGCAGACCTGAGGAATGTAAGGAAGGCCTGGAGGGGCTGGGGAGACAAAAGAAGAAGCCGTCCACAGTATTCCAGGTGGGAGAGGGCAGATCCCAAGGAAAGGCAGGACACAGAATCACAAGGGCTGGGTGGATGATCAAGGTCAAGATCAGGGAAGAGTGCAGGTTCTGAAGCCTGCTTGGGTAGTCGGTGATGGTGACCCAGATCCCCACACAGTAGATCCTGTGAAAGGGACGGAGAGTCTGGGGAGAAGCCACCAGACATGCTGGTTTAAGTATCTCACTGGACCCCAGGCTGGGGAAAGAAGGAAAGGAACCATCCCAGGGCTTTCCGTGAAGTGGCAGAGAGCTGGGAGGTGTGCTGGCCTCAAATCATCCTTTCCTGCCGGAGGAAACACACAAGTTCCCGGAGCCCCTGGCAAGATGAGGACAGCCCTGAGCAGCAGGGCAGTTCTGCACCAAGCAAGTACCTGGTGCTCAGCCACGGGATCCACCTTTGCAAGCCCTGCAGTCTCCGGACACACAGAAACCTGCTGCCCAGACGTAGCTGTCCTTGGCAGCAACACTGCTGTCACCTCCCCACTCATGAGGCTGTGACGCCAGCTCCTGCTCACCTCACCTGGCCCTCCCAGCACCTGGGGAAGGGGTCAGGCTGCCACGCACAATCTACCTTAGTCCTTTTACTTCTATACTCCCCGGACTCCCTGCCTTGATCCTGAAAAGATTTGGGTCAGCAAGCGAGAACACAGGGACCCAGTCAGATATGTTAATCACAACAAAAGGAAGAGAGCGAAGGTAGAAACTTACAACGGAACCAGAAACAAGGATGTGGAAATGTGCACACCTGCGACAGTGTAGACCCTGCCCCAGGAAGGCCACGAATCTGGCTCTGAACTCTCTTGAACAGAGCTGCCCAGCAGAAATATAGCATAAGCCACACATGGAATTTTTAATTTTCTAGCAGCCACATTTTTAAAAAGCAATGCCTGAAATTATAATAATATATTTCATTTAACCCAATCTATCCAAAATACTATCACCTCAACATGTAATCAACATAAATAATAATATCAGCCAGACTTTTACTTTTTTTTTAAAAAAACTAAATTTTCAAAATCCATATGTACTTGACCCTTAGGACAAATGTCAACTTAGTAGCATTTGACTCCCATACTGGACAGTGTGGGTCTAGAAGCTGGTCCCTATGGGGAACACGATCAGTCACACAACCCAGTGTCTACAAAACAACAAACCACTCTAGAACTATAGGCAGCCAACACAGCTCAGAGGACCCCAGAGGAGTTCTCTGCCTGGGGGCAGCGCCAACACCACCAGTAACACAGAACCATGTTTCACAGTTCCTTCCTAACAGGGGCATCGCCATCAGCTGCTGGGATCACCCTAAAGGGCCCCAGAAAGGCAATTCCTGTTAGGATGAGAGGCCACCTCTCTCCCTATGGGCCAGGCTTCCTGGAGCTGGACTTGGCCCACAGGGGGTTTCAGGCTATCTGGAAGAGGAGGTGACCAGTCCTTTCAGCAGCTCCTGCTGGGGGAATATTTCCTTTGCATCTGACAGATAAGAAACAATGAGGCAGGAGGAATTAGTGATAGAGTAGGGTCTGGATCCAGGACCTGACTTTTGATCTTGCTTTCCTGCCACTGTGACCACCCTCCTGGGACTGACAACATCCGTGGAAGGACACCTCGGAAAAGAAAACAGTGCTGACCTAGGAAAACCACAGCCCAGGTAGGAAAGGGACGGGACTCAGGAATGTTATAAACATCAATTCCAGGGGAGAAGAGCTGGGTAAAGGCTAACCTGCGTCATTCACACAGGCAAACGAAGGTCTAAGAGTGGATCCCCACTGAGTTCCATGGCCCAGAGTGCTCCCAGTCCCCAACTCCCAGCCCTGACAAGATAATCAAAGGAGTGAATGGCTTAGTGTTAAGTCATCCCCACTGGAAAAAGTATGAGAAGGGCTCTTGTTGTTGACGAGTGGTGGGAGCAGGCATTGTCTTTCTATATGGAAACTCAGTCCCAATAGCACCTCCAGCAATTAAAATGCCATCTGTTGCCAAGGCCTGCCCCTTGGAGCCAAAACACTCTAACAGGACAAGGAGATGCCTGGTGAGCAGAACAGCCTGGAGGGCAGGGTGAGCACGGGAGGCAGAGAGGACAGCCAGGCTGGGGCACACCCAGGGCAAGGCTGAGCGGGAAGCCACCAAGGATCCAGGGCCCTGTTTTGGGCAGTCAGTTACATTCCATTTGGCCTGCTCCACCAGGGACTCCTGGCATTCAGCTGAAATGGAATTTGGGCAAGACAAAGTCTGAGTCAGCATGTATCATCCATCAGTGAGCCAGCAGCCAGCGGGGAGGGTGACCTTCCCAGAGCACACCGGGCACATTCCCAAGATGCCAGACACTGAGTCAAAGGCATAGGCACTCAGGCCATAGATACTCCCACTCCACCTCCTGTGGACTATCCAAAGAGTCGGGCTGATGGTCAGTCGGTGGGCCAGGATGATGACCATCCCATGAAAGCTAAACCCACACTTTCAGAGGAAGACACAGAAGTTGCAAAGTTGCCCTGAAGAGTATGAAAAGAAGCAGGTAAGTGATTGTGTCCACATATCTGAGGAAAGAATGCACCCATCACAAAGGAGGCTAGAAAAAGTCACAGAGGAGCAGACACAGGCCCATCTAGCACAACCCTCCTTTCCTCTTTCCCTCCATCTCTCCACGGGACCCTCTCTCAGAAAGCTGAGGACCAAGCCGGGTACAGTGGCTCACGCCTGGAATCCCAGAACTTTGGGAGGGCGAGGTGGGGGGACCACTTGAGTGCAGGAGTTCGAAACCAGCCTGGGCAACATAGTGAGATCCTGTCTCTACGAAAAATAAAAAAAATTTAGCTGGGTGTGGTGGCACATGCCTATAGTCCCAGCTACTTGGGAGGCTGAGGCAGGAGGATCGCTTGAGCCCAGGAGTTTGAGGCTGCAGTGAGCTACGATTGTGCCACTGCACTCCAGCCTGGACAACAGAGAGACACCCTGTCTCAAAAAAATAAATTAATTAGTTAAGAAAAATGAGCAAGGCCGAGCGCGGTGGCTCACGCCTGTAATCCTAGCTCTCTGGGAGGCCGAGGCGGGCGGATTGTTTGAGCTCAGGAGTTCGAAACCAGCCTGGGCAACATAGTGAGATCCTGTCTCTACGAAAAATAAAAAAAATTTAGCCGGGCATGGTGGCGCATGCCTGTAGTCCCAGCT